GGAAGGAGAAGGCTGCTCAGGAACGTAAAGCAGCACATGAATGCTCAGGTGTCAAGAACCTAGACACTGAGAGTGGTGGTCAAAAGATGAAGAAGTTTAACTTGAGTACTTACATACAGGACATATACATGAGTTTATATACTAAGAGACATAATGGAAAGATCAGTAAGCAGAGTCCAAGGCTATGTATGAAGCATATGCAAAGGTTAACAAACACAAGTCAGAAATTAACATAGGTTAATGGATCAGTAAGCATACCAGTGATAGATATAGCCGAAACAACGGAAAAAAGAAAATACCAAATAGGCTGTGTTTAATGTTATATGAACAGGAAATGAATTAAGAAGCTTATCTATATCGGATCAGAAGCGGATCTATGCATCGGACCAGATCAGATCTAGGGGTCCAAAGTCCGGAAGAGAAGTGTAGATATATGGGATATGACAACAGCACACTGACCCTCTGAAGTACCCGCCACACCACTTGGATCATGGCCACACCCTGAGTGTTTTAACATTACTAAGTGACACTATTCATGGACCATGTGCATGAAAGATTCATATCAATCCTGAAATGATAGTGTGAGCTGAAAGAATTACATTTAGTGAGATTAAAACTTACCTTTCATCTGATCAAGCCCATGTTATCCGTTAAATGAACCAGTGAGTGATAAAACTCATACACAGAGGCCTTTGACTCAAAGGACAGGATATGGTGGTGATGAAGAATGTGAAATGTTGCAGCCGTTCATGGATCAGTAGATGTTGATGGAAACCAACCCACATGCAAGAGTTGTTTGGTATGTGTCTGGGAGGTCGTACAGCCACAGAAGTTGAGCACAATTTTATATATACCATTTGTGTTGATAGGAACAAATTCATCATTAAACACTTTCCTTGGAAGAATACACCATTCGCCGATTGCATGTCTAAGCTGCATGTAAAGACAGATAATAATCAATTCAAGGACATGGCAAATTGCCTGAGACAATGGGCATCTTCATTCACAGTTCTCACCGTCATGTGCAATCATTGTTCACCCTGGCACAGAGACTCTCAATGCTTTGCTCAATGGTTTGATATAATAACCAGTGTTGGTGATTATGGACCAGTGCGAATGAAATTGGCAAATATTAGGATTGAAATTGCCTATAATTCAGGCATTATGATAGGTACTTCAAGTAGAATTGTTGGGCATGGTGTAGACAGGGTGAACAGTAATAGAGTTAGCTGGGTGTGATACACTTCCTGGCCTCAGCCTTCATTCCAATAATTCAGAAGGTTCCCAATGAGCATTATTCCTTCGTCACAGGAATCCAAAGGAGGGCTGCACCCTCATGTGGCTTCCTGGTCTCAGGCTGCATTCTAATAAATTGTGTATTTTGAAACTGCATTTATGAATAGCATTTTGAAAAAACTAAAAGTACATGTAACAGTATCATTGTTATTTTCCCATTTTTCCCTACCTCCCATCTCCCTGATGAGTTTTCTGCAAGTCTCAGACACATCTGTTGAAGTACAATCAAGTCAGGTGCACAGGGAATGCATAGATGATGTGTAATATACATGAATTGTAAACTACTCTTATATACTGTAAATTATTAGTACTTTTGGTTGGGTTTCTACATAGCCAAAATATTACAAAGTGCATAGCATGTTTTATCAGTCTCAAGATCCAAGTTGCTGGTGCTCCTCTAATCCAACACTCCTGTCTCTCATCTTCCCTGTTTGCCAGTTTCTTCATCTCCTGATCTTCTGCTTTGCCAGTTGGCCAGTTTCCTGTCCTCTCATTCTCAAATTTTCGAGTCTCTACATTGTCTTTTGCTCCCTTTTTAATTTTCACAACTGTTTTCTGCACAATCTCTTTTATCTCCTTGACCACATATTTCTTGTTTCATTTTAGTTTCATTGTTTACTGTATATATGTACCCTAAACAATTACAGTAGGCAAAATACTGGTGTTAATGCAGGGTGGCAGTCCAAGACTCCCACAGTGCATGGCTTGCTTCACAATGACTCCATATAATTAAATTTATACACATTGCATGCTAAAATATACAACAAGCAGGATTATGTAAGAAGAGGCCTGCACATGGTAGGAGTCCTGGACTCCCACATCTTGTACTCAGGTGGTTTGAGGCTTGCACACAGTGGGAGTCCTGGACTCCCACATTTGACACTCAGGTGGTGTGAGGCCTGTACACAGTGGGAGTCCTGGACTCCCACATTTGATACTCAGGTGATTTGAGAGGCCTACACACGGTGGGAGTCCTGGACTCCCAAATTTGACACTCAGGTGGTGTGAGGCCTGTACACAGTGGGAGTCCTGGACTCCCACATTTGATACTCAGGTGATTTGAGAGGCCTGTACACGGTGGGAGTCCTGGACTCCCACATTTGACACTCAGGTGGTGTGAGGCCTGTACACGGTGGGAGTCCTGGACTCCCACATTTGATACTCAGATGGTGTGAGGCCTGTACACAGTGGGAGTCCTGGACTCCCACATTTGATACTCAGGTGGTGTGAGGCCTGTACACGGTGGGAGTCCTGGACTCCCACATTTGATACTCAGGTGGTGTGAGGCCTGTACACGGTGGGAGTCCTAGACTCCCACATTTGATACTCAAGTGGTTTGAGGCCTGTACACGGTGGGAGTCCTGGACTCCCACATTTGATACTCAAGTGGTTTGAGGCCTGCACATGGTGGGAGTCCTGGACTTCCACATCTGATACTCAGGTGGTGTGAGGCCTGTACACGGTGGGAGTCCTGGACTTCCACATCTGATACTCAGGTAGTGTGAGGCCTGTACACGGTGGGAGTCCTGGACTCCCACATTTGATACTCAAGTGGTTTGAGGCCTGCACATGGTGGGAGTCCTGGACTTCCACATCTGATACTCAGGTGGTTTGAGGCCTGCACATGGTGGCAGTCCTGGACTCCCACATCTGAGACTCCAGTGGTGTAAGGCCTGCACATGGTGGGAGTCCAGGACTCCCACATCCATATCATGTAAACAAATGAAGTATAGAACATAGTGACAGTCCCTGCAATATAACATAACATAACATAACATAACATAACATAACATAACATAACATAACATAACATAACATAACATAACATAACATAACATAACATAACATATTGTAAATCTGAGACTGTACAATGAAGTATTAAGCATGTAGTAGTGAGAGGCCTCAAACACTTTTGGTAAATGTCACATGATAAAGACATCTTCTGTAAAATGCCTTCATTTTAGAATTGTTGGAAAAGTAATAGTAGACTTGCAGATAAACAATCTATGCTATCCAAGATGTCAAATGTAAACAAAGGTTTCAAAATGAGCTATAAGTGTTTGTCCATGTGGCTACAACTAATCTTTGGAAATCTCAATGCCCAAGTGCGCTCGACAGGTGTGAGCAGCCCTTGCAAATCTTGGGAACTGGGCAAAGAAAATAAAAATCTAGGTAACTCCAAGTTTGAGAAGGAGAACTTTCATATGAGTAGTATGTAGGTCACACCCCAGTCACATCATGTGATGTTGACTGAAAGTGCTTGAGGCCTACCTTACATGATACTACTGACTGTATCTATGAGTATATAATGGATATGCATGTTGTTGAAGCCTGCACACAGTGGGAGTCCTGGACTCCCACATCTTGAACTCAGTGATTTGAGGCCTGCACACAGTGGGAGTCCTGGACTCCCACATCATATACTCAGGTTGTTTGAGGCCTGCACACGGTGGGAGTCCTGGACTCCCACATCTGATACACATGTTGTTGCAGCCTATACACAGTGGGAGTCCTGGACTCCCACATCATATACTCAGGTTGTTTGAGGCCTGCACACGGTGGGAGTCCTGGACTCCCACATTTGATACTCAGGTTGTTTGAGGCCTGCACACAGTGGGAGTCCTGGACTCCCACATTTGATACTCAGGTGATTTGAGGCCTGCACATGGTGGGAGTCCTGGACTCCCACATCTGAGTCTCAAGTGGTATGAGGCCTGCACACGGTGGGAGTCCTGGACTCCCATATCTTGTACATACCGGAGTAATAATCAAAAACTAGGAAAAATTGATCCTAGGTGGATCCTAGGGGGGCTCATAACTAAACTAAGGGACTCAGATCGATGTTCGGGCCATAAGTCGAGAACGAGAGGTGCGGGCGGCGAGATTTTTGGTGCGGGAGGATTGTAGAACCCTATAGAGCAGGACGCAAGAAGCGTTAGTGCAGTTAGTTGCCTAAAAATAAGGTTACAGACTTACCCTTTCCTCCTCGTCCCTATGCCCAACTAACCCTGATGTTCGGGCCATAAGTCGAGAACGGGAGGTCCGGGCAGCGAGATTTTTGGTGCGGGAGGATGGCAAAATGCTATAGAGTAGGATACCAGAAGGGTTAGTCAAGAGGTTTGAACGAAAAAAAGTTACACCCTCATCTACCCTCCCTCTCACTAAAAGGGCGCCCAGATCGATGTTCGGGCCATAAGTCGAGAACGAAAGGGTCGGGCAGCGAGATTTTTGGTGCGGGAGGATGGTAGAATGCTGTAGAGTAGGACACCAGAAGGGTTAGTCAAGAGAGTTGAATGAAAAAAAGTTACACCCTCACCTTTCCCTCCTCGTCACTCAAGGGTGTCCAGATCGATGTTCGGGCCATAAGTCGAGAACGGGAGGGCCGGGCAACGAGATGTTTGGTGCGGGAGGATGGTAGAATGCTATAGAGTAGGATACCAGAAGGGTTAGTCAAGAGAGTTGAACGAAAAAAAGTTACACCCTCACCTTTCCCTCCTCGTCACTCAAGGGTGTCCAGATCGATGTTCGGGCCATAAGTCGAGAACGAAAGGGCCGGGCAGCGAGATTTTTGGTGCGGGAGGATGGTAGAATGCTGTAGAGTAGGATACCAGAAGGGTTAGTCAAGAGAGTTGGACGAAAAAAAGTTACACCCTCATCTACCCTCCCTCTCACTAAAAGGGCACCCAGATCGATGTTCGGGCCATAAGTCGAGAACGAAAGGGCCGGGCAGCGAAATTTTTGGTGCGGGAGGATGGTAGAATGCTGTAGAGTAGGACACCAGAAGGGTTAGTTAAGAGAGTTGAATGAAAAAAAGTTACACCCTCACCTACCCTCCCCCTCACTAAAAGGGCGCCCAGATCGATGTTGGGGCCATAAATCGAGAACGGAAGGGCCGGGCAGCGAGATTTTTGGTGTAGGATCATCACAGGGTGCAGGGTAAGCACCCTGCAAGGTACCGGGGTAGCCAGAGGTCGTGGTAAGAGTAGAGGAGGCACACGAAAAGTGTAAAGCACATGGGAACCACGAGTTTTTGTTGAGGGCAAAAGTCAACACTAACACAATTATTTTAAACCGAATTTTGGTGCGGGTGATGCAGAATTTCGAGGGCTACAAGATGGGTTAGTTAGATAGATACAAGTTGTGGAAGAAATGACTTGAAAAAAAAAAGTTGCTGGTGCGGCGCTTCTAATAGTTGCGCCTTCCTCATATGGTTAGGCGCCTGGCTCGAAACACATTGGGACACCAAGCTTCAAAAGAAGGTACTGGGCTCTCAACAAGGAGGTCACGCATTCTATGAATGGGCACTGGAACTCCAAAACCAGAACACCCTTTTATACGGTAACGCTGCTCACCTAACAGACGCCCAGCTCCGCAACCAATTAGAAGCGAATATATGCGATGACCTGACCACGGCAGTACTCAGAGCCAACCTCGACCCAGCGCTCACACTGAGGAACTGGATCTAGGAAGTACGTCATCTCGACGATAAACGCCTCGAAGACCTCGCCATGCATAAAAGACTCGCAGATGAAGCCTACAAGACCTCCAGACGAACCAACCAATCTTACACAGCATCAAAGACTACCTACAGCTCGTTGACAAACAACTCTGCACCTCGTCTCGGCCCTCTCACAGTAGCAGAATGAACGCTACTCGCAGATAACAAGGGCTGCTTCAAGTGCAGAAAGTTTTACGTGTCACACAGATTGAGAGAATGTCCTGACGGCGCACCAGAAGCATCATCCTACAAGACAATTACCGAAGCGGATGCAATGGCAGCCAAAACCAAGAACGAACGGTCAAACAGGTCTGTGCCTATCGCTGCGGTCGCTCCGGTCACTGCCATGATGCCTTCGTCTGTCTTGGAAGACTTATCTGACTCGAATGATGATACATGCATGGCTCCTTTTGAAACTGCCCATATCATATGACCCTGTCTCCTGATGGAGCCGTTATCTCCTTCGTTCGAGCGCATAGATGCATTAATTGACCATGGTTCACATCTAGTTCTTATTAATGAGGACATCGTGAACAAGTTGGGCCTATGGAGGCGCAAACTGCACTCCGTAATCCAGGCAAACTCAGCCTTTCTCGCACCATCTACTTCTCCTTTAAATTTTTCTGAATACGTTCTTCTGTCTCCTTGTTCTCTGAATCATGACTGGAACTCTCGTACTATATGCGCGATTGTTGCGCCTAATCTCGTCATGCCCCTCCTCTTGGGGGGACCTTTCTTATCACATAATTGCCTCCTCATAGATCATGAACTTCGCACTTGCATCAACAAACCTTCTGGTTACGATTTCTTAATCCCCCAATTGTTACACAACATACAGCTGTACCCTTGCCTTCAACTCGAGATGTTTTGCGACTACGCAAAACTGTTATTCGCAAACTGAAGGGTGTACTAACTGACTGTCTCAACAACTCGGTGAATCACACGACTTCAATGACAACTCACGTCGTCGCGACTATACGTCGCCGAATTGAAACTCTAGTGTTCGTCGAGAAGAACAAAGCCCAACTGGACCGTCTGGACGTGGAAATGAGAGAAAAATACAAAGATTGGTTCCCTAACGATATACCACATATTGATCATCTACCCACAGATGTGGTCCACTGCATCTGACTAAAAGATCCTGAGAAGATCATACAATGCTGACGGTACAATACTCCTAGAAAGTATAGGGAAGCGTGGGAACAGCTCCTCGATGAACACGTCGTGGCAGGTCATTTGAGACCATTGTCAAGCCCCTACGTATCGCCGGCCTTCCTCATACCAAAAAAGGACCCCAGCGCATTACCTAGATGGGTAAATGATTACCGAGCTCTAAATGCTAACACCATCCCAGATAATCACCCCCTACCACATGTAGACGAAATACTGCGCGACTGCACAAAGGGAAAAATATTTGGAAAAATTGATATGACTAATTCGTTCTTTCAGACACGAGTACATCCGGACGACATTAAGTACATGGCAATAGACACACCGAAAGGCTTACACGAGTGGACGGTAATGCCTCAAGGTGGGAGGAACGCGCCGGCGACACATCAACGTTGGATGTTCATGGCACTATGACCACTGATCGGTAAAATATGCCACGCTTATCTAGATGACATTATAATTTGGTCGGAAAACGTGGCGGAGCACGTAAAGAACATGCAACTGGTACTTGACGCCCTGTGTAAAGCCTCACTGTTCTGCTCACCAAAGAAGACCTCGCTATTCTGCAACGAGGTCGACTTTTTGGGCCATCACATATCCGCCTCAGGCATCGAGGCGGACGCGTCTAAAGTAAAACACATATTAGACTGGCCTGCACCAAAGTCGTCAATGGAGGTGCGCTCATACTTGGGACTGGTGCAATACTTAGAACAGTTCTTGCCAAAACTGGCAGAACACACGAGAATACTGACACCTTTAACCACAAAGAGTGCAGACACAAACTGGCCCGGCTGGAACGCGGATCACCAACATGCTTTCGATGCCATCAAGCGACTTGTCATTAGCCAGGACTGCCTAATGACAATCGATCATGACAATATCGGAGAAAACAAGATTTTTGTTACCTGCAACACAAGTGATTGGAGGACAGGGGGGATGCTAAGTTTTGGCCGAACTGCAGAATCAGCTCGCCCCGTCGCCTTCGACTCGATGCAACTTCGTGACGCACAGTTAAACTACCCGGTCCATGAAAAAGAACTTCTATCCATCGTACGCGCACTCAAGAAATGGCGTGTAGAATTGCTAGGTACCCCTTTCATGGTATACACTGATCACAGGATGCTAGAAAATTTCATGACCCAATGAGAGCTATCACGTCGACAAGCACGCTGGCAAGAATTCTTCGCCCAATACGACTTTACAATACAGTACATACCCGGAGAAGAAAACGTGGTGGCCGATGCACTTTCACGCCTACCACGCAAAACGGAAGACAAGCCAACATACGTCAAACAAACAATGAACATGCCCCCAAAGACAGGTAAAAGCATCAGCACTGTCACACTAATTCTGTCTATCACGCCAGATGAATTGCTACTCAACGACATCAGAGATGGCTACACTAAGGACCCATGGTGTGTTAGACTCACGCAACTAACGGATTCCTTGCCAGGACTACAAAAATGCGACGAGTTGTTATATATCAACGACCGTCTTGTCATACCGCGCGTGACTCACGTACGCGAGACACTATTCAGACTGGCCCACGCCGACCTCGGACACTTTGGCGCCGACAAGTCATATGTGGCGCTGCAACAATCGTTCTATTGGCCAAATATGAGGCGGGACCTCAAAGATAGTTATATCCCCGCATGCCCGGAATGTGCAAGAAACAAAAGCAGGACAACAAAACCTGCAGGGCTGTTACACCCCCTCCCAATGCCAGACAAGCAAGGGGACGCCATAGCAATGGACTCCATAGGACCTCTCCCCCTCGAACAAGGATTCGACGGAATCCTAACAATCACTGACCGACTAGGTGCTGACATCCGTCTAGTCCCCTGCAGGATGAACATGAACGCAAAAGAAATCACAAACCTCTTCTTCAATCATTGGTACTGCGAGAACGGGATGCCTCTCAACATCGTCTCGGACCGCGACAAGTTGTTCACAAGCAAATTCTGGAAGGCATTACATTGTTTAACAGGTATATGACTCAAAATGTCTACTGCTTACCATCCACAGACAGACGGCTCAAGCGAACACACTAACAAAACAATCAATCAAGCACTAAGGTACTTCGTGGACCAGCGACAATGCGGTTGGGTAGATGCGCTACCACGTGTCAGGTTCAACCTAATGTCGAGCGTGAATGCATCAACTGGCTACACTCCATTTCACATGCACCTTGGAAGGTCTCCACGCTTACTACCTCCTCTAATGCCGAACGCAGTGCAAGAAGCTCACGAAGACTTCCAGACGGACGTCACAAACGCGCTTGAAGCCATCATGAATCTGAAGACGGACGTCACCAACACACATGACGCTCTCATGGCTGCAAAGATATCGCAAGCCTCATCAGCAAACACAAGACGAAGCGACGAACCAGAACTCAAGACGGGCGACCTCGTATACCTCTCCACGGCACACCGGAGACAAGAGTACCTCCACGGCGACAAACGACGAGTGGCAAAGTTCATGCCTAGGTTCGACGGTCCTTACAAAATCATATCGGCAAACCAAAAGACATCAACATATACGCTTGACCTACCGGCGCACACAAACATCCACCCTACCTTTCACGCCTCGCAACTAAAGAAACACATAGCGAACAACAACGAACTCTTTCCCTCGCGAACGGTACAGAAGCCGGGGACGATCATCACGGACGACGGAGCAGAAAGTTGGGAGATAGAACACATCTTGGACAGAAGAAAGCGAGGCCGAGGATTCCAATATCTTGTGCATTGGAAAGGATACGGACACGAAATGGACATGTGGTTACCGGGTCAAGAGGTCGAAGGGACGGAAGCATTGGATGAATTCAACGACGGTCAAAATGTCTCGGAGGGTGGGAGGGTGTAAGCTTGCTGCTTACTACATCTGCTTATCACATCAAACACGTGATTGTTCGGACCGCTTAAAACACCGCTTAGATCTTCATTTACGGACAGACTCCGGTCTTACACTTACCACGACATCACATACTCATATCATATCTCAAATTCCACGGTTTTGTCCTATTATCTCCTGTCCGAACTGTTTAGTGTTTCCTGCTGCCACAACGGCGGGTCTCCACACATATACCAAAAACGGTACTGCGTTGTGCTCCTACTACTAGTGTAGCTCTAAAACATTAACCTTCAGTCAACAAATACAATATTATGTAATGAAAGTGAGGAGGGATACGTACATAATACTAGTATCAGCCGCACTCATCTGATGATCTTTACCCCATACTTATATGTATTTTGTTCTTCCATCACTCGGACAGACCATCCGAAGTGCGTTTTGGTGGCTGTGCCAACTGTTTTGAAAACGGATAGGCGTGAATCTTTTCTTAAACCATGTCAGTGCATGCGAGGCCTTGAGGTTCCAGCGTCCGTGCCAAAACTCGGTTGTTCACAATGTCATGTTCGACTATGTAGAGATGTCGCACTGTTATAAGCTCCACTGGCATACTCTCCTGGCGTTAGCTCCTTTCCTCTCCGATCAAATGTCTGTCCACTTCATTTCCCTTAATATTCGAGGTTCAAGCTATCAACGATATGTCTCCTTGCTTCATCCCAGCAATCCGACTGTGTCGCAGACCACAACAATCCATTACAGGTTCAAGACCGGGTCGAAAGTTGAGATCTAGACTTGATGTCACCTATGATAGCCACCGGTATGTTATCATTTATGCTGTGCAGTTTCTCACCCTCCAGCAGGCGGCAGCGGCACTTTACCGAACCCATATCTGAAACTCGGAATTCATCACGCGGATCCACTGACAAGCAGGCCGAAAAAAAACCAAAGGTGAGAAGCCACAAAGCTCGGTGTTAGCGCCGTATATTTGATCTGACATGGAATGACCCAAACATTAAGGAACCTTCTTCTGAAACTAAGGAGTCGCAGGGCAACAATGCGGTGCGACTGCTGGGGCGTCACTATAGTGGCAGTCAATATTACGAGAGACCTCCGTACCCATCGACCTGACAAAAGGCATGCTCGGAATGGTCGCAAACATCCTGATCATTGCGCAGGTGCATTTGCATAGCCTTTGAAAGTGTTCGTGAAGGATCCTGAGAGGTGTACAGTCAGTGATCAAGAATCAGTCCGATTTCCAGGTGAGAGTCGACAAGTGCGAGACTATCAGGGAACTTGGATCGCATCATCCCACTGTTCAGTGTATGTTTCTGGAACTCCTTGAGAGCTATGGCTACTGAATGATGTTTTAGGGCTGAGATGCTTGTTGGCCTCGCGATTGGAATGAACACTCAAACCTTGGGACTCAAGAGCAATGGTAAGTTGCCATCTCGGCGCGTGTTGTGTATCTTCTGAAGGAAATTAGGTATCACCCACCTGTGCCCCCACCACGTCCCTCCATGTTTTATGGACGTGAGGATCTTGTAGCAGAGTTGACAAACCTTGCCGTCGACGATGAACACATCACGTTGATCGGTCTTGGAGGCATGGGGAAGAGCTCCCCTGCCAAAGCTATCATTAACAAACCACCTGCCATGGAGAAATTTGCTGATGGGCGTGTCTTCGTGACCTATGACAGCCTTGATCCTTCGAGCATCACCTTCGAGACTCATGACTTGTTTTGCGGGAGCCCTATGCATAGAACTTGCTGGTGCTGATCCTATGCACCAAATATATACATTTCTTCATTCTGCTAGTGCCCTCATCATCCCTGATAATGCTGAGACCTTTGCAGCGAATCATCGGCGCTTGGAGAAATGCCACCAGCCATTGCTGACATCGCAAACATCCCTGGTGTTATTCTGATCTTCATGTCATGCAGTCGAAGTAATTCACCGAATGTGTGATGGATAACAAAAGATATTCTGCCATTGGGCTCATTAGGAGAAGAGGACTACGAGGGAGATAACGAGTGCTACTAGATCCACTGATGTGGACATTTAATGAACAATATGTAACTTGAAGTGGAAAAAAAAATCAAACATACAGGGTGGCAAAACTCAGCCAGTCCAGCGAGGGCCACTGCTAACTTGTTGTGCTCTACCACAAGCCACCCCATCAGTTGTTTGAGGGCTGCATTTTCTTCTTTTTCCCTTCAAAGTTCGAGGTAAACATCCTGAAGTGTCTGAGGTTGGGTAATGTGTTTGTTCATAGTACCCTCTATGGGTAGAAGCTCAGAAGGCTGCTTCAGCGGCAAATTTAATTGATTGCTGTGCAACAATATCGAAGGATGACTTACCATGGGGACTGTCATGGATGTTGCTGTGAAACTGAAAGTAAACCAGGCAATGGATAACTTTCCATAGGCTAAATAATCCAGAATATCTTGTTTCGGAGCCTGAAATACATTTGCAATCACTTCAATAATTTAATCTATGCAACAATAATCCTCCGTGAGCTCAGTCTTTAGTTGGTCTTGATCGGAAGATAAGTCTTAAGTTGCTCCAGTTCCTGTCCTCACTAAGATAAAACTCTGCAGGACTTGTGAGCTTTATTTCGAGAGGTGCCAAAATGATTGGCTTCAACTTTGTTGCCGGTGTGGGCAGTACCAGAGTCGAACTCCAGGCTCCCCATCTGAGATATGTCAATTATGTGAATATGGGATGGTGATTAGATTATTTATTGCGAGACTGCCAAGTATGCTGCCGGCCAAACCCCAGGTGTTGAAATGCGATCACTGATCGGCAACGCATGGCGACTGCGCAGAAGACATTGTAGAAAAATGGCAGGGACCCACCTAACCAAACAGTTTAACAATAATGGAACGTGAAATAGTTATTAGTCATCCGAGTAATAGGCGGACACGCGACACGGAGATCAGGGGCAGTGTTCGGTTTCGGGTTCCAAAGAGCGCCACTGGAATCCTAGTACAGTTGACATTCTCATAATGCATCATGTTGGTCCCCCACCTAGCTTATGCATTATGAGACCTTATGCAGTGACATATGGGTCACACTTTGTGACATATTTTCCCACCGAGCGGTGATTTTGTCAAATCATTTTCGAAATGTTCTACTATGACATTAAACCATCTATTTACTCGACGAAGCAACCCATTGATCAAGAGTGGTCTGAACATGAGATCTAACATCAAGATGATGGAGATGTGCCCGCAGTTTTCGCAGTTGTTTCTGCATCTCGAGCAGTGATACACCATCAGCATCAGAATAATCAACACAGACCTTTTCCATGTGTTCGCACAAATCTAGGGCCTCCTTTGGTGGTATTGGCTCCCATAAGTCATCAACTTCATCCTCAAGATCCTCTTCAGTATTCTCCATCATTTGCCAAGTTGCTTCTACAATAATCTCGTCATCTCCACCAGGGAACTCGAGGCCAGTATGGCCAATCACATCTTCTTCGATCGGGTTCAACAAATCCTCCAAAGTAGGTGCAGTACCACAGATTTGTTTACGATGCTGCAGATCTTCAATAGTGTTCATAAGTTCAGTCTCAAGCTGAGACAACTGTGGCAAAGATGGTTGTAAGGGACGAGTTGGAGGTTTGGGGAGACCTTCTTGAAGATGTGGGGCAGCTGCTGCGGGGTAGAGTGATTTGGAGGCAAGGTGATCAATGGCAGTTGCAGCAGCCATTTCATCATCCTTGGCCGCGAATATTGCATCAAAGGCAGGTTTCCAATCGTTATAGTGATATTTTAAACCTAGACGTGCTGCCAGCTGCTCCTGCGCATTTGGAAGGGTTTCAATAATACCAGTTGCAAAATTCTTTATGATTTGCCATGCCTCAGCATCCGCAAGAGGGGACTGAGTGTTGGGAGTGGAGCAAATCAGATTCGATGAAGCAGGAGTGTCCGGGATAGCCCTATGAAGACCAACGAGTCGTTGTTTCAATATCAGACTTCATACTAGATAGTAGATACGCACTCTGTAATTTTTGTATGCTTCCAGCAATTCCTAATTGTCTCTGGAGTGACAGCGTCCCAAGCATCCCTTACCATCAACATGACTTCGAGGAGATTTATCTTATAGATGTCATCGTCTCCTGCATCGTCTAACTCCACTGCACGCAAACAGAAAGCTTTCCGGTAATGAGCTTTTACACAATGAATGATACCAGCGTCCAAGGGTTGCACGTATGATGTGGGATTTGGTTCAAAATAGATGAGCTCGATATTTGTTGGCTTGTATGAAATTTCGTGACCAGAAAAATTGTCAATTGTCAATGCTATGTGCTGATTTTGACTTTTGAAATGCAAGTCTTGCAGCTTGTTGAACATAATAACAGAAATACTGACTCTTTGAAATATGCAGATGTCATCCAGGCAGTTTTGTTGTTACGATAATAGAAACCATAGGATGCAGGTGTCTTTTTGCCGAAGCAGCGAGGTTGCTTTGCCTTGCCTATATAAAAAATTGGTCGTTTCTCGCTTCCATCAGCATTGCATGTGAAGGCAACTGTGATACGAAATCTATTTGATTTCTTTCCGGACATTTGCTTTGATGCCAATCCACGGTCTGGTGGAGCACTATGAAACAATATGTCAGAGCTATAATACGAAGTTTCACGATTGCCTACAATCCAAACAGTCCACTTTCGTCCATATTCCACTGGTCTTTTGGCATGTATTTTTCGAGACATTTTGAGATTCTTTGGCGCTCCGCTGCAACTGCTGCTAAATTAATAGATGCTGCCTCTCCATGTCGACGATATTCTTTCATATTGTACCTAAGAAATAGAAAGTCAATATGCTGTAAAATATTAACTCTTGGCTCACGTTCGCAGGAAATTTTGTACCCAACCACCACTTTTTAACCTCTCATCCTCTGGTATGTCCATGGCTTCCTCAAATTTTGCACATTTTGCCATAAGCATTGGGCCTGTAACAGTTTCACGTTTCTGCTCCATATGACCAACCCACAAAACGAGTGCCTTTTCAACATCTGGCCGGGTAATGATCTGGGCCCTTTTCCCTGAAAGAGCTGTTGGATTTGATGACAAACGGGCCTGATCATTGCTACGTCCTTTTGCTGTGATGTGATGAGAGAGTGATGATTGAGTAAATATCAAAGCACCCTGAGGAAGATTCTTGAAATGCTTAACAACATCTTCCTGTGATATAGGCTGGTTATCATCATAATATCTGACTACAGTTAGCCAGTCACTGAGTGTTAGATTGTGTCGTGCATGGGCTGGAGGCTGGGGTAATGCAGATGTCTTGGGTAAGTCTTTGACCTTGGGTTTCATAACATGAACATAGGGTTTATGGTTGTGACGAGGTTTACGCTTTGGGGGGTCTGCAGGTGCCATTGAAAAGCAGGAAAAATAATGCCCTGCTTGATTTTATTTGTTACACACAAGCAGTAAAGGTTTAGCGTCAGTTTGTGGCAGGGTCCCTAGTGAGCAAAGGCTCCGCATTACTCTATGTAGTATATATAATGATGCATAAGTCTATAAAGCTCTATGCATTATTCAATAGTAGATTTCGTGCATAAATACATAGGAACGAAGTTGGTTCCCACCATTTGTCATGCATTACGAGATCTTATGCATTATGAGCATTTCAACTGTACCGTGCTTATGTAACAACCCAAGTGGGTTATGTATATTGGTCGGGGCAAAACGCCCTTGCCATGACACTGCCCATTCTCCAGGATTCAAATATTCAATGGCACGAGCACACTTAAAGAATTTCGCCTAGATGGCAACTACGCTCATTTCGCTCTTTGTCCTCTCACGCCTTAAGTTCTCTTTTGTGTCTCCCTGGTAGCTATTCCTTTGCACCGACTCACTATTTCCAGTTCTTCACTCTTCGGATCTTACAAAATATCACATTTAAAATCGGTCCCATTGCTCATTAACAGTCGTTACTACTCTGCAGTCCCACAGCCTCCCAACCCAGCCATAGACAACGCGCTCCCTCACACCGCTATCTGAATGCCCGTCTACGAAGAAAGTCTTGCAGACATCTTGTAGGCCTCTTCATTATTTATTAATCGCCACTATGTATTTGGTGCGTCGAGCACGCCCCTGCAAGCATTACCCCGTCACCCTATTCCAGGCGCAGCCCGCCTATGGCTGTTTTCTCCATGGTGAGCGTGGTTACCACTGGTCTGGGGTCGATCATCTCGGCTTGGCTGGAACTAAACCCTCATCTCCAATGGAGATGGATCCACGGGATTCAAGCGATGTGCGTATATCTTTTCTGAATTATAATACGTTCCAATAACAATAAACGCAGTGTTCGGGGGACCTACTTCCTTCTCAGCCTACTTATAATGGAGGAGACCCGATCGCAAATCATCCTTTGATGCATGGCCAAGAAACTCTGTATAGAAACTGGGGACGACCGGTACCGCGTCTGGGGAGAGCCCGGAGAGGAGACACGGCCGAAATTGAGTGCCATGATTAAGATGCCGTGTACTTGGCCAATCAGTACGTTATTTGATGATTGCTATGCAAGGTGGTGCTGATGGTGGTTAGTGTTTGTTCTCACTGAACCCATCGTGACTAGTATATGCGTCGGTAAATTTTCCCATTGTGTTTCGTTGTTTCTGAAGTTCTCTCCGCAGATTTGGGTCTTTTTCATGTCCGGCGTGCTCTACGTCCAGATCGGGTATGCAAATATGTCACTTCCAGCGAGGACTTGCCACTAAGTAATGCGAGCAGATCTGTGTCCGGAGTTTTCAAGCACATATATCACTTCAACGTCGGGCAGAGTGGATTAGTGTTCATTATCGTCGTGTAAGTGTCCTGATGTTGAGCGTTTGACCCTCTCATCTAGTTCGTCCTCGCAGTGTGGGAAGTATCCTGGGACTCCTTGCCAATTTCTACCAGGATGTGCTGTACCGGTGAGTCAATTGTAACAATAAAATTATGCGCCGCACCTGACCGATCTGTTTAGGAAATGCGTGTCTCAGAGGGGCCCTGAAGCAAGGCTATACATCGCTTGTTTAGTTGCACTCTTGCTACCTATATTCATCTATGCATGGACAGCGGACTCTCGCATGTTCTGGACGTGGCCTGTTGTCGGTTTATCGGTGTGTTTATCGTTTCTATGTATACGAGGATCGGGAATGCTCATCAGACACCACTCTAACCAGATCTTCATGTTTTGTTCATTTGTTTCGTACCAGGTGGTTTTCATTTATCTGGCAGACTGGGAAGTCTCTCGTACCATCTCCACTGTGATTTGTGTTTCACATTTTCTGCCCATGTAGCTATGGTCCAATGGCATCTTCTGCTTTGGCGGGCCAGGGTTTAGCTCGTACGTTGTTAATCATATTTTGTATGCACGTGCTGAGCAACCATAGGTAATATGGGTAGCTTTGGATTCCCCCTCTTCTCCCACATAATGTTCAAGAAGCTCACATACAAATGGGCCAACACTATCTTTGGTGGCGTCGCTGTCCTCCTGATTCCAGTCCCTTTCGTGAGTTTTTCGATATGTCTCGGTACTTCATTACTAACCCACTATCAAAGATTCTTTTCTTGTATGGACCCTCACTTCGAAAACGGAGCACAATGTACAGCCAGCTAATGCAAGATGAAGAAAAACCAGAACAGTTTGAATTTCCTAAATCCCAGCTAGACTAGGCTCGGGTTGATCCGTGTATGAGCTTCCAATTCATGGTCTGTATCACGTTCCTTACTCGCAGTGTCGATCTCAATGCACAATGGTGCAAACAGCCTCTCATTCATTTTTTTGGACTCGATTTACAGAGTATTATAATTCCAGCATCTACCTACTTGTAATCTCCGCAACAGACGAGGATTAGCCTCATACATTCATTTAGAAGGGCAGTTTTCTTTTCCACGAATACTTTCATTTGTAGCATATTATTCTACTAGTATGAGGTATCTGTATGACTATAGTGCGTCTTAATTGTTCATCCCCGTCAGGAAGGGAACTTTTCCAATACTATGCACTGTGTACGACAACATCGTTCCTTTGTTTGGAACGACAGGAATATTTGGACCATTTCTTGTTCTTCCATGGTCCCAGAGCAGTACATTGCTCCGTTTTGTCGCGGAACAGGATGCTCAATCACTACTGTCCCGATTAGTAGCGGATCCTCGTGTATTTCACTTAGGCATTCACCTCGGAGCCTCCATCCTGTAGGGTGTTTGGCACACTGAAAGAAAGAAGTCCTCATTGATTCAGTTCTCTCGTTTTTTTCAGTCCTGACATACAACTGGCACTGGCAGAAGATCCGACAGGTAAGGTCTTCGGTACGATAAGTGACTACGTCATTAGTCTATGGTGCGTTCGGAAACGTTTTAGATGTGGATGAAGACAACCGTTGGGTCTTGTCAAGGTCTGGCCAGCTCTGGCGTCACTTGCTGATCAACATATCCATTATCGCACTACAAGTCACTTCAAGCCTGAGCCCATCATATAGATCGCGCCTCCGAGTCAAAGCAGGACTTAAGGCTCTATTGTTGTTCCATTCTGAGCACTATTTTATGTAGAATTGTTAGATGTTTGGACGAGAAAGTCCTACGGGCGTTAGGGGTGAAGGTACCTCAACTCTAATAACAACGATGACAATACCAGTAGACTGGCTGACTCGGTCGGTAGCAGGAGGAGTCGCGTTGTGACACGTACATCATGCGTCGACATTTTACGCAGGAATGAGGCATGTTAAGCTCATGACAAGAGTCGCGCTGACCAACCTCACACTATGGCAGATGCTCTCAGACGACCAAGACCCACTGGAAGTCCCTAAACATGGCTTTAACCAAGTGCAAGGAGTCATTAAATTATTAAACACGCCCCTGACGATACATATCAAATGCAATTGATACCCAAATCTTCAGCAATGATCATCGCAGCCCGTTCTCCGATGAGAAGTGCGGTCGAGTACGAGTTCTGTGTATGTTGTTAGATCGTACAACAATTCCCTGTCCAGTACTCACCGTGCCAACGTTCAACGGCGAAATGGACATATCTGCAACCTTCAGGTTCGACACCCCGTATACAATAAGCCTAGCATCGACGACTCCCTGATCTGCCTCCGGTTTCATGGCACAAGTCCCAAGCTACAAATACAAATATCAGATATGAAATCATGGAAAGTTCAGTCGCACACACAGAATGCCACGTCGTTTGCACTGATGTTCGATTTAGTATTTTACTGTGACGATGCAGATCGCATGTCAGCACTTACTAATATCGCGGTGGAATCGATCAATCGCCTCGTCATCTTCGGTAGTATCAACAATGTCAGGCGCATTCAAGTCCACTGGCCCGAAAGCTTCTCTGCAGGCTGCAGCGCTTCCCTCCGAGAAATCAGGATGGCCAGCAGCAACTTCACCTCGGTAGGAAGCCATGCGTCGAAGAAGTTCGCGTGTCTTTTTATACCCGAAGTTAAGAGGAACAATATCAGATGGACTGGGCGGAATGGCGTGGTCATGCAAAGTGCCCTAAAATGAGATGCGTCCACTCACTCATCTAGGAAGCCTGTAGTAAAGTCCATTGCTTCTTTTCCGTCATCTGTCACGTCGATATGAACGCTTCCAGCAGACACCGGGTAAAGCTATTCAAAAGATTAACAAAAGAATCACAGGGTGGATGAAAAGTAGTACTGTATAATACCCCGTACACATGTACCTGCGAGGAGGAAGAACGAGCGGCTTCGAGAGCGGTTGAACATGTCTGGGTGTCATGAGCATTGTCATATCATTAAAGCTAAGCAATGCGCACGCACCCTGCAAAAACACAAAATATTGCAACAGCCTTGTCTGGCCGGTCCTGGAAAAACTCCTTTTAGCGTGGTTGAAAAGCTGGATCCATGGCTTTCAACTCCTCGTCATCAGGACGCCACTTGATTTTTGAATCGAGGCCGCTGATATTCCAATCAGCACGATGCCAGCAGTGATAATGACAACTTGCACCAACTTCTGTGCAATCAATGACTTGCCGCTGCTGTTCCATTCTGCAAGGCTTTCTACATTTGGGTGGTTATAAGTGCTGCAATCGTGGGATGAAACATGCTTACCCTGCAGGATACTGTCCCCACGCCAGAGGGCGTCCATGGTAACAGCCTCGTCAGCAGCCAAGTATGGAACAAAGACGAGATTGTGATCTGACCGTCCTAAGCCAAGGAAGCTCTCGGGATAAGTAAATTAAAAGCGCACCTTGATAATTTTCTCCGACACCAGGCAAATCCAACAGCTGCTCGATACCGCACCGCTCGAGGATCGCCTCGGCACCGATCCCAGACCTCTCCAAAATGGCCGGGGAACCAAACGCCCCAGCAGAGACAACATCCAGTTTTGATGCTCTTACAACACTCGACGATTGATCCGCATCCGGGCAAGACACCTGGTCGCTGGAAAACTCAACACCTACAGCACGCTTGTCCCTTTCATTTGGAGAAACAGTCAACCGTTTGCTGGGGTCGCGATCTCATATGGCCACTTACTCGAAGATGATACGCTTCACGCGCTTTCCGTCTCAGACTTGTAAATTCGGGTTGTGAGCTTGGTTGTAGACATAGTGGTGAGCTGCGTCGGAACGCCTTCCGGTTGTCCCGTCGATGTATCTTGTGTACGTGAGCCAAGAATTTGCAATTGTGTAAGAGTGCAGGAACTCACGTCCGCCATGGCTGAGGTAGATCTGGTTAGTTGTCGAAGTTAGGAAAGAAGCATCGTAGCTTACACTGTATGTATTGCACGTTTCTAAATCATTTGTGTCGTCGGCATACTGCCTCTTGTGATAGGTCGTGCCAACTTGGATGAATTCATCGGAGATACCCAACTTACACCCACCAGATGAAACTTTGATAGGTCCGTCATATCCGTGAGTTGGACGATCGGGCTGGACCTCATATGTCTCCAGCTATAAGGTGAACGTATGAGCAATTCGAACGAATGTCCTGTAAACGAATTTAAGACCTTCTTCGTGAGGGGAATCAGATTTTCAGATTCCCAACCATCGACTCCCCAATCGTCATAGTCCGAAGCAGGTGCACGGGTATATACCATGACTGTCTCATTATCAGAGCCTTCTTTATCGTGGCAGGCATGCTACGCACAATTCACACATGAGGCTCCACCGACGCAACGACTGGAAGGAACGATCAGTGCACGACCGTTGAGACAAGGAGATGGATTTCCTACGTGAAATGTAACTGTGGTGCTCGTCGGTGCTTGGTTGAAGGGATATTGGTAGGGTTGGACATGCATAGGTTTGTTGAGGGTGTGTTGACCCGCTTCCAAAATCAAGATCCTGAGTGAGGGGTCATATGCAGCTAAGCGACCTGCGACAACACAGGCTGTAGTGCCACCTGTACAGGACGATGTATGACGAGGGCAATCCACTACAAGATGTTATTTGCTTACCTCCAGCAAAAACAATGTCGAATTCTGACAGGATTGGATGAGACATTGATATGGATGGTTAATTTCAGGCTGCCCCTCGCTGCTTCCATCTTATAACCAGTAAAGTGAAGCCTATCATTGGTCCATGGGGAATGGGAACTTACGACACGTCGCAGATCACAAGATTAAGACTGATAAGTGGCAATAATAACTTGGACTGCAATAGGCCACATCTGAACAATAACATCAGAAAGACAGGGCGCTGCGTGGCGTCGCAGGTATGTTGATGTGTTGTTGAACGCGCAAATGGCTTGATAATACAAAACCTTGTGACCAATTTGGCAATGTCCTTCAAGTTGATAAACGTTAGTTCCATTGCGGTCCGGCGGGCCCGTTCGCCCTCCAACATGCGGTAAGATCCAAATTCGAACATCTGCTACACCAAGACTCCCGATACCATCGTTTAGGTCAGTATTTGGAAGGCTGGACACCACGAACAGGAGGGAAGGACAGATGTACGAAAAGTTAGGAATGGATGTACATTAAAGAAAAGCGGGTCACTCACCGCGAGAGCCCACGATTCATTTCATGGTGATTCAAGCTCTCCCAATGCCTAGTATTCGGCCGAAAGGATAAACTGATTTCAAGCAACAACTTGAGTGATACATCGAGCAATCTATAAAGCAAAGATAAGTTGTAGGATCGGGTCTGTTGCGTGGATTGCATTACATGGCCACAATACAATTCACAATGCAGATTCTGCGGATGATAGTAGTCGAATAACTAGCTGATTTCCAGAATTAGGTTTCGTGGAGGTGGATGGGCACACGAATGCCCGAGGGTATGCGCCCAGAAGGGAATTTCGGAACACGACAGGCTTCGGTCTTTAGGAGGAGGGGACGCAATTGTTGCATGTCCCACCCCACAGACATATCCTTGAAGGATGGCTGGCTCGAATGACTCACAGATCATCTGCGAGATCGATATGTCGTTGTCAGAAAATTCAAGATGTACTGTATAGACGTAATTTGCAGACGCCCTATGGCGAGTCGTAAGGTGAGGGATCGCGAGACCTTGGACCTGAACCGTGAAAGATTGCATGAAAGTTGTGGTGCTAAATTGATGTGACAAAGGATTGGGTCCATGTATTCCGTGATCGATAACACACCATTCCTGAACACCGCAGTGACATGTTAAGGCCCGCGCAGCTTTGGCTGTAGAGAGAGCGTTCCGATGTTAGTAGAGTGCGATGACCATATTGCACACTTGGTATGCGGCGCAGAATTGCAATTCCAACAAGAATGGACATGGCATAATTAGTCAATGAGATAAAGTGAAACCAAATGAAAGGGACAGGACTTGGTGAGATGAGCAAGGAGCAAAGCGCTGTGAGCAAGGCTGACGTCTTTGAAAATCATAATTTGGATGAAACGAGTCTTGAAAGATGGAAACTTCTTCATTACGAGCGCGTTTGAGATGCGAAAAGAGAGACATCTGGTGCAGATACATATTTTGGAACTCGACGAGATGATATGCACTCGGACAATTTACATGATAGCCAGTATCGCAGAAACTGCTCGACATAAGAAGTGTAGGATATAGCCGAATTCAAGGGCCGTGGGAAGCCACGAGAGAAGCTAGCTATTTTGACGTATTAGTTGGTCACTAAGAAGCGATTGACTGAAATTCTTCATGTAGGTAGTCCCTAAGTATAAAAAGGGTCAGTTTGCAGCAGCTGGATGCTAGGGAAAAAGATATGGGGTCACCTAAGTCACCTCCCTGTAGCTGACCCAGGATGAAGATCCGGCCATAGCAGACGGGTGAGATGTGCGGTCGGAGAGATGAGTGGTGCGGGGAGTGTATTAGAGTACCTAGTGTGAGATCTCAGCATATTAGTACGAGAAACGAAGGTGAAAAAAAGATACAAGCTCACTTACCCTCCTCCTCTCGGAAAGCCAACAAGAACAAAGGTTGGGCCATAAGTTGAGAACCAAAGATGCGGGCGGCAAGATTTTTGGCGCGGGGACATCGCAGGGCACTGTAGATTAGGATGATAGATAGTTGAGGTCAGAGAGTGCGTTGAAAATAAGTTATGAGCTTACCTGTGCCTCCTCTCGACAACGCCGAGAGACAATAAGTGCCGCAGTATTTCTTCTTTGCTCCCATAAATGCCAATAGGCTTCACGGTTAAGCTATCCAGCGCGCTGAACTTGACTTCCGTCATGGACACATATGAACCGGGACAAACGGTATTGATGAATGCTCGGAGTGAATCCTGCGCAATGATGATTTTGTCCACTAGGAGCAATCAGCGAAGGAAACTGAACTTACATAGTCTTGGATATTATTGATCGATACAAGTTGTCATCCGAGTCCTCTGTCCAATCTGTTTGATCACCTTTTGATGAGTGCACTTGTGAAGCCGAGTGCTCGTCGTCGTCATCGTCCATTTCGTCAAGCTGAGAACTTTGTGGATTACGGAAAATCTGTTTGCGTGTACTGTGCCGAGCAAGATGTGGGATTTAAAATGATGACACGTGCGGGTACGGCAGATTGGCCTATGGAAGGCCTGAAACTTATTATGGCATCATATAACCTCGAGGCGGACAGCTTTACACGTATGTATATGTGATATACATAGACCCAGTCAGCAACAAGCCCTGCTTGCAGCTGTTTACATCTTCTCGACGCCGGCCTCCTTGGAGCAACGCGTTCAAACCCTTGACAATCTATAATGTCTTTAAAACAAGACCGAAGAAATCGGTCCTGGATTAGCCGTTTTCTAGCCTCCCTCCGTCGTGCATTCATGTCAGAGCCTCCTCCTGGACTCCCAGTTTTAAAGTTTCACTGTCCAGATGGGCCTGATATCAATAGTGCGTCTGTTTTGAGTTGGCGTTCCTCGATGGCAGAGTCTTGGGACTCCAAAACCAAGGGTAATCTGTATGCAAAGTGTGTACTGGCACGCATGGAGTACTACAAATGTGCTGGTCACCCCAAACACGAGTTCCTCTTGTTTTATTTTAGACACTGGATCGATGGCTGCTCCGCTCAGGCTGTAGTGTCTGCAGACCGTGCCATGCAAGGACAAACCCATTCCCTCAGACAATCATCTGAATTAGTCTCTCCCTCATCATCCGACACCAACGCGTACGACTCCGTATCTATTTATGGTTCCCCCCGCGATGCAGCGCCAGAACTTCAAGTCAGATATACACAATACAACAGGCTCTGTACCTTTGACTTCCCTTTAACTTCTGCGCCCTCAGCACTTCAAGTGTCCACCGTCCTGTCTCTGGTACACCTCCAGGCCCCGGCATATCATTTGTATGAAAACCAATGCTATTGGTTTTCGAGCGCAGTGTGGGGCAGTTTGAAAGTGCTGTTCCCTAGTGATCAAGACTCAGAGTGCGAAAACCATCATGCACGTGCGCGTTATCGCGGGTTCGCATTAGGATCGCCAACTGAGGATATCAAGGCTGTATGTGCCGCTTATGAGCTCGAGTGGCAAAAGATGTTGGAGACGCTTGAGAGGGTAAAGTGCCATCACGAAGCGGAAGAGGCAAAGGTGGTTTATTCTCAGCTAATATAGTATCCATTTCTTGATGGTACTTGTCGTTGCAGAATCGACAGACATTGCACATGGAGTTTGAGGTTAAAAATGAGCCGTTTCGCCAAGCACAGGTGAGTTGTTTTCTCAGCAAATTCAGTCTGTTTTTTTATGGTACTTGTCCACCAGCAGGCCGAAATAGAACGACTTCGCCAAACAGAGGTGCAACAGAGGGCCGAAATCGAGCAACTTCGTGCGAGGCTTGCAGCCTTAGAGGGCTGATATTTCATAACATCATACAAATATGCCCTGTTCATGTTCCATCGCTCCTCCATATTCCGTAGTATAATAAAGAGGCAATACTATGAGCTTTCCGCGCTGATCATCAGCACCTCCCACCTTTGGCTCGAATATTTGCACAACTCATGTGGTTTGAAACTGAGCATCATAGTAGGATTGCGCATCACTGGTACCCCTACCGGTGACAAGATATACATTTAGCTTTGGCTTCTCGTCGCTTGTCAAGACGCTGATCGCACATCTCCATCAAAGCCAGCTTGAAGGCGAGTGAATCTTCCGTTCTCCTCTATAATCTGATCACCGCCCCATGCATGGCAAATTTTGAATTCCAGATCCTTCACAAGATCCTCCACTTCATTATCGAGCTCGTGTTCAAACTCAAGCCTATCGGGGAGGACATCAGAGAACCTGTGAGAAGAAGATATCGTCATATATCGTTATATATCGTAATATATAGGAAAGGTTTTCGTCACATTGTAATATAAAGTGATATAAAGCAATATATGACCATGTAAAAGCACCATAATCAGCATAATCCCCAGCAAGAACTCACCGGTTTACTGATGGAAGGTGGCGATTTTGTGTACCCCAAAGGCCAGGAGCAGCGGTTGGGACTACCTTGGGCGGTGGAGGTGGGGAAGCAGTCATGGACTCACTATACTCCCTTAGACTATTCGTGCTCTTCGTGATTCTAATACTTCGCTCCCTTCGAGAATTGAACTCGTCGGACTTCATCTAGGCAAATAAATAGCACCCGTGCGCTAGTCTTCATGCTGTCGATTCTTGCTGTAAGTATGTCATTTATACGTTTTGGCCGTCTGCTCGCTAACACTTTTCGGTCTCGGACTTCCGTTCATATTGAGAAGACGTCATACCATCCTTGTTGACAATAATTAGTCATAAGGTCTGCCTTCCCTCTCACTGTAGTCGCTGTTTTGTTTGTCCTGTAGGGGCTTGTAATCATGGGTTTTGTCCAGTGTACTGATCTCAAGATATGTAATGAGGGCCAGTGCTATCCAACCTAACTTGAGCAGAACTTCGGCAAGCCGACATACTAAGAGAACCGAAGCGAAGGTGAACCCATTGTTTGCTTTGGCCAAACACGTTAAATTGACATTATATTATTGAACCACTCAGTGAAGAATCTAGGTTCTGCAATTCCCCGTAAAGCCTCTTTCTTCTTCGTCTTCAACAATCAGTCATGTCACTACAGTGGACATGCGACCACTGTCAAGCGACCACAGTGCTAGCTGATCATGATAATCCTCGGGATGTCAAACGTGCCCATTATAAAAAATGCTTAGACAAACCGAAATCAGTACACAACTGGCCAGTTCCCGTTCTTAATGGGAAATACCTTTGTCCATTTAGATTCCGGTATTGTTTATCTTCGCATGCGAGCATCGATTCTGTGTTCAGGCACTGCAAGAAGGACAAGTGCCCCGGGTGGCTAGATCCGGAAGTCGCACCTACAGTCACGGTGAAGGAGATCTATGGCATCGATGCTGACCTTCTCACTCCAGTAGGTTTGGGGAAATGTTGCGAAGAGAATTTTCCCTTGGTAAGTTTAAATTTTGTAGAACTGTGAGGCTTACTATAGCTAATCCCATACAGAGCGCTGTCCATAGCAAAACGCTCAAGCTGCCTGTGCCTACTGAGCGCGAGATCGAATCGAATCTAAAACAGCATACACCGATTCAGGACTCAAGGCATCACAAAGTCCAGGACGAGCAGGAGACACCCCAGAGCAAACCTGAGACAGCTCGATCGCAGTAAGTCACCAGACACCACCAATGTGTTACTGATAGTAGCCTGATACTCACCTCCTGTATAGAAACTTGGATTCAATTGCTGCTATGTCCAACATATTCCTAAAAGCCCTTGCAGACACAACTGGGATGTCCTTCACGCTTCTTGCCGGGGGTCCACCCTCTGAAGCTCATGGTGAGTTGGAAGTATACCGGTAAGTTGGCACATTCAGTATATGTGGCACAGGGGGCTGATCTTATGAAGGTTTCATGCTGGTTTAATGAAACTGGGCAATTATCCAAATTTTGAGATGGGCGTTGTGGGACCTTTCCGTGATTTTCTGCACTATGTATACTGTGAGTGATGATCGTACAACGCCTTCTCACTAACCTAACCTGTGAGGTCACCAGCAGTGCCTGCGATTATGAGCGATGAAATTGTTCAACCAGATCTGGGCTGTGGCATCCCACCATCCCCTTCTGTGCTGTCAACTTCAGCTTCTGTGCTGTCAACTTCAGCTTCTCTGCCGGCCGTAGACTTTCTTCCTGACTTCACCCAGAATGTAACCACTGAGGCCGAGTTTCCATCTGCGCCATCTGGCACGACCGAGTATAGCGATCCATTCTGGGCTAGCCCAGAATTTGACGCCATTCTGGTTAAAATGCTGAATGATTCCCAAGGTGGATTGGTCATACAGGAGAGACATAGTACTTTGGCCACCACTGCGCTCCCCACCTCATCTCTCACTACAGGGTCTCCCACAGTAGCTGCTGCGGCCTTGTCTATACCTGATGGGTCTTCCGTTATAGTTTCAGCTGTGCTTGATGCAGCCCCTAACAGGTCTCCTAGGGCGCCTCCATCGTCTCTCACTGTACCATCAGCGGTGCATCCTGCCCTACTTTCTAATGTACCTTCTACGGCTTCTGCTATGACACCTGTCATCGAGCCCGTACATGCAGCGAGCCCAAACATGGCAGATCCCCTAAATGCCGAGCATGAATGCCGCAGGACAAGCCGGAAGTCTAAACCTTCAAAGCGCAATGATGTTGCCAATTCAATCGGAATTCTGGGAAGGGCTTATCGAGGAGTCCTCAAGTCGTAGATCCGGCAGAGTTTGATGCATGGAGTGATACCCACTTATACTATCCATGATCCATCCCACGTATCCTATATACAGGTATCTATGTCTGCATGAAAATGTTAGGACTCTACTTTGGTTCAAGTGCCGCCTCCCACCCTGGGTCGCAAAGTCCATCGGTCAAGATGACGTTGACGCTTACTGCAGATTGCACTGCTAGTCTGCATGCTTAGCAAAGCTCGTTATGTCTAGTATTAGTATGTAACATATCATGACAATGAACCTCATCAAAGTATTGTCATTGTTAAATTGATAGAATCCGACGCATATGCAAAGATGTAATGAAAAGAGAAATTTCGATCAAAGATGAATTTCCAACCAAAAACTGCGCTACTTAGTATGCCAGGCAAGCTCTTCGTTAACAACCCGTTGCCAATCCACCATCACCTTCTCAAAAGGAGGATTAAGCTGCTCTCGCTCACATGTGGGGTAGAGCTTGAGATTTGTCTGGAGACAGCTGGTAAAAAATCTGCGAAATGAGATTAATTGTCCAATAGAGTCTGTAAAGACTTACTGCGTAGCATAACCTGGGGCGTTACGATCTGGCACCCTGATCTCACATAAGAGCAGGTCAATATACTGTTATAACCCAGATCCGGGGGTTACTTGCATGGTGGGATTTTGATCCGACACCAACTTGCCTTCCTTCAACAGCACTGGGTCCACAGTAGGCGCAGTGGTATCCTAGACTGATGCATTCCAGCATAGAGCAACTCCCGTCTGGATGGAACGAACTAAGTAGATGCATGTCTTTGAGACCCTGCCTGCGTGTCTGAACCGCTGTGGAGGACATAGATTTTGGCTTTGTGGGTGATGAGCTGGGCTTTGTGGGAGGTGAGTGCACGGATGGTGCTTTTGAAGGTTGTGGCAATGTACGCGAAGGGGGCGATGCCACACCCGGTGGTGAGGGCCTTGCCATTGGGGTGGGGAGGTGGGCGAGTGAGGAGGTCGACTATGGGGGGATTAGCATCATTCGATCGAAGTGAAAAGAGACATACGGACTGTCTTTGAATATTCGAAAGTCTGACCCTCGCTTGGGGGGCCGGAGAAATCACCGTAGTTGGAGTGTTCGCGGGCAAAACCTGCGGCTGCGATTGCGTCACTGTAGACAGCAGATGCACAACCGCCTGCGACCGCGGTTCAGACAGGGCAGGTGGGGTTGGGGACGGTGAGCTTAATAGAAGCACCAGCCTGAGTGGATGCATCGAGCTACACGATCTATGCTATAAAAATGAGTCTAAGAAGTCGAGGTAGTGGATGGAACCGTCATCGAGAATAGCCAAAGAGTTAATTTTCCATTATGCAAAGCGAAGGTCGACGTAGACAGAGTAGAGTTTGAAGAGCCAGTCGGTGAGGACATCCTTCTCACGTGCTGGGAGTCTCGACTCTACGGAAATTTGGTCATGGCAAGGGGGACCGTTTTACCCCTTGCCATGACGAAGCTGCCCTTTACTAAAAATATCAATCAACGGGAGGGAGAGGGAAATTCTGTTGAGGAATGCTATTGTATATCGGACAGAGCTGCCTCGAAGCATCTAACGTTGATCGTCAGACCCGGTCTAGTTCATAGTGCTCGGTGCTTACTATTGAGGGGCTGCGAAGCCGCCACATCTTCAGGAGCCTCTGCGAATACTATAGCCAGTCCGCTACGAATCCAATGATTAATTTGAGTCCAGGCTCAGTGAAAGGAGCAACTCACGCGGATAGATGCCAATCGATATGGCTTCACAAAGACAAAAAGTTATTGCCAGCTAAAAAGACATAGATATGACACTTACCAATGTGACAGCCAAGGCCCAGGGTTGTCGGTGATGAACCGGATCGTTACACGATCACCGGTGTTGCCAGTGGTCACTGTGTCATGCATGACAGGATCGATGTAGTTATAAGCAGTACTTCCAGCACTCCTGATAACAGCGAAACTGTGCTACAAACCAAATTATTATTAGTCCATCGAGTGTATGTAGATGACATGCCAAGACGTACCCCATGAAGATGGAATGGATGCTGCAAAGACATGTCAGTCAACGACATACATGTCATTTTGAAATAGACTCACAGGACCCCCAGTGGAATTATCAGGATTGAACGTAAGTTCGATAACCTTATTCCGTGGCAGAGTGTATACGGAGCCATTGGGCGCAAGATCCGCAGCCGTCATAGCACCGCTCAGTAACTGTAATAGGACAGGGACACTAGGAGAAGTATACTGGATGTTATTGATGAGGACTACACAGGGTGCACCTTTTGCCAATTGCTCTCATCCAGGCACTCTAGCATGATGCAGGCAGGGGTTCGGTCATCAGGAAGGTGCACGGGATTTTTGAGCTGGTTGTAGTGGCATTGATCAAATGAGATTCTACCCAAAATACGACGTGCATCAGCCGATTCGGATTTGAGGTACGCGAAGGTATCCTTGATCCGAGCGTTATCGGAAGTTGTAACACAGTACAACTCGGTGTCGAGGACGACGAAGAATGTGTGGACCATCACCAGACTCAACTGTGGGAGACGCGATACGTCCATTAGATGTAGAGACATCAATATGCGAGCACGAACTTGTTTAGATTCGCGACATGTAAGGAACGATGACTGCGTAGCTGCAGAGCTGCAGAGCGAGACAAAGGAGATCAAAGGGCAGTTGAACTATAGGTGTGGTGTCCAATAGTAATTTCAGCGAAAAATCCAATTTTCATAGTCCGTTTCACTTTTGGATCAGACCACAGCCCAACCCAGCATACTTCAAGGACTTTCCGAATGACGAGATATGAATCTTGAGAAACTTTGGAAATAGACAGAAATACGTCTCTCTGTTGTTCAAGGAAAGTCGATCTCACAAGTGAGGAAGTTTCGGGGTTGATGAAGGAGAGAATAAAAAAGACGTAATAAGTGCGGATATCTGACTGACAAAATTCAGATAGGCCAAGGTCTACAGATGTCGTAGACACATACCGGGTCTTTCGAGCACATCCTCTGCGTCTCCTTTCCCTCTCCTCCTCATATGCACTACTTTTGCCAACGTCTATATTTTTTTAATTCAGATCTGCGATCGTACGAAAGCCAACGCACCTTGATGTCCCATGGGAAAGCTTCATAAAGTGTCTTCCGTTCCCTCCCACCTCCGAAGTGAGAAACAGTGTTCAACAGTTTTAATGAGACGAGAAGAAGCTCATTGGAACCAGAGAAATAAGAAGTAATTTTGCGCATCCATTTTGGCGACAAGAGCGCTTTGATGATTGGAGTGCCATGTGAGTGGTATGGGAAATGAGACGATAACAAAGTAAGGACCGAGGATAGTAGACACAAGGAGTGATAGACTGGACGACTAGTGCATTGCAACGTCAAAATGCCGAGAGGAAGAATTGAGAATGATCGCACTTGATTCGTACCCTCCCATATCTCAAAAATATCATGAGCACCTGGCGAATTCTCCATCCATTGCACTACAAGCGAAAGTCGCTTATCCTGAGGAGCAACGGTCTCTCGTGACTTGACAGACAGAGTTGAGCGCAACGCAGACAGGGCTACATGACTGAGTGAATATTGTTCGCAGTGATGATTGTAAGCTCGTGCACCTTCTATTTGAACATTCTGGTCTTGATTCTGCAGTGCGGCACGTCTGACATCGATCGCACTCGAGAATTCATACACCTTCCGCGAGGTTTGCTTAAGTTTTGCGCGTTTGTGAGGACGCTCTGATTTGTTTTGAGGCATGTTCGGGTCAATAACTCGAGTCCATGAATAAGGAGACCAAGACGCGCCGGCAGCTTCGTCATGGCAAGGGGTAAAACGGTCCCCCTTGCCATGACCAAATTTCCCACCCTTTAGGCCTCAACGTCTACCATTATGACAATCAATGTATTAGCCACAACGACGGGCAACATCGCACCCACCTGTGACGATAGTTTAAGCTGCCATTTAAGCGACAATTCCTCTCAATCTCCTGAATATTTCCCGAGTCGGACAGCAATGTTTGTGACTCAATTATCCTCTGCCAAGGATATCAGCCAGCTCATCAAGACCCTTGACGAACTTCGAAATGATACAATTCAGAAGTACTCTGATCATCGTCGCTGCTACTACTTTTTGTTTTCTAATCACTTCCTTGTGTCGCTAAGGTCGCCCTCAGGCACCTCGAGGATCTCGCGCCCTTCTCTGGCTGTGCCCATGTCCTGACAATGGCAACATGGTGTGTTGTTCACTTAGGGCTCCTCTGGGTATTTTCCAGCGTTTCTGAATCACCCATCTATTCAAGGCTGTAACGGCAGCTACCAACTCTCAGCCATACTATAGGATTAGGAAAGAAGAAGAGACATAACGAGTTGAGAATAGCACGGCAAGGGGGTTTACACATCACAGGTCCATATAATACTGGATATCCAAAATACTAGACAGTGTCTTATCCACCAGTCACTGAAGATCAGCACCACGACTCGCCCACTCACTAAGAAACGTACCCCTTCGCATTCCTCGTGTTCATGTTCATTTTGTGCTTTTTCATCTGCCTATACAGCTGACTCTGCAGCACGTTCATGCGGACAACAAAATACTCAAACCCACGCACCGATGATCATGTGCACCCATTTGAGCTTGCTGAGAAATTCGGTCCTTGATGATGTACTCATATGTGGTGAGCAGAACTTGGAACTGACCCATCTGCAGTTCGCCTTGGAGGTCGCGACGTTGTGTGGGGTTGCCCTTTCATCTTCACCATCGGCGCCCACTTTGCAAATTCGCCGAACCAGCTCGTCATCGTTGACAGTGGCACGATGATAAGATAAGGCCCGGGTTGTCTCTTGACCTCGATGAGGAATGTGAGCAGCGAGATTTGAACATATTGTTTTTCCGAGACCCTATGCTCGAATGAGATAAGATATAGAGAATGCGAAAGCCCGTGCTCACCATCTCATCTGCAAGGATACCTTGTTGTAACGACTGACCATCGACTGCAGGCCCTTCAGTTGATGACCTTGAGCTGGCTACCGATAAGAATACCAGGCTGCTTCGAGACCTCCGAAATGCGATGTGCAACAGCATAATAGTCTACCCTGCCCTTGTCGTCCTGAGCATCTGCACTGACCTGGGTGCTAACCCTAAGAGCAATGAAGCTGTGAATGAAACATGAGGATCATGAGACACACTTTAAAAAGACGAGTTGAAACTGGACATTTGCCCAGCTCCACTTTCTTAGCTTACAGTGCATTGGTGATTGGATGCTGAAGCACTGATTGATCTGAATGGTATTTCTCGTCAGCGATAGTCTAGGTTCTTGATTCTGCCAGGCGAATGGCCACTCACTTACCTGCAATTTAAATACCACAAAGTTCTCCTGCAAATCATCAGGACAGAGCGGCAGGACAACTCCGCTATACAGACTAAGCCATCCGAAACACTGTCAGCAGCATTCTTATAAGTCAGGTGTCGTGCAGCGATCAAATATCTGAAGGGGATGGTGAGACCGCGCAAACACATAGTCAGGCCCGCTCACCTTCGATAGTAAGTTGGAATAGCACCAAGACTCGCACGCTAATCAGAGTGGAGGTAGAGCAGCCACAACACGAATTGGATATGCCGGGTTTCGCGGCCATTGGCACTGGTTATTTCCCTCCCGTCCACATGTTGCTAGCACGGTTTCCCAGCGACTCTGAGTCATGGTTAGGGCAGAAAACGCAGAGAGTGCATGGAACGTGTATCTGTGCAGCGAGCAGCGAGCACTTAATGAGGAATGTCACAGATGACAAGGTATCCGTGAAAAGGGTCAGGAGAGGAGCAAGAAGTGTATCATAAGTCGATGCAATGAGGGTGTTGCTAGACAGAGGTGCGAGTTCGGCGAGGGGGGCATATTTGACCTGTGTATCTGTGGTCTGCTGAGAATTTGCATTGCGATTCGTTTGGGCGAGAAAGAACCCGGGACGAGATAGACATACTTTGGATGCGCGTAATAACACTCGGCGGAAATTGTGCATATGGATGCATCTATACAACAGTATCAGTTCGGTTCCGATCGAGAAGAAGACCTCTAACCTTTGCTTTGTTGCGAGAAAGGCGGACCATTTCATCGCTATGTTGACATCCTTGGGCAGGCTGCCAAGAACATTAGACCTTTGTGGATTTGTAAAGACACAAGAAATACTGACAGATCAGTCCAACAGAATCGATGGCCATGGTTCCACCCTGGCTTTTTCTGATCATATACAATAACGAAGTTTTCAGCTCCAGCATCGTCTGCATTCTACAACAGCTCTCGAAACACTGCATGCCAATCATTCGTTCTTCAGACCACATAGTAGTAGTTCCAAATGCACCCGTGAATTCTTCTGGATAACGGGCAAGGACTTTATCGACAAGATCTCGCTGGTTGACTTCCACTGCTGTGACCTCCAAACTGAAATGTGAGCCCCGAGAGAGCAATTCTTGGGCACCAACAACACCAGCTCACCCCGGGCCCACACACTACCGCCACTGCAGGACAACCTCGAGATGTTCGTCAAAATGCGATAGTAAGACTAAGCTAGCTCTGCTTTCAAGTCAGTGAGCCTCGCATCGAAAACTGCTGCTGTCGTGGGTAGGGCACAAACGCCAGAGCTCGACATTCGTGATCATTGCCGGGCGAGGGACCACAGTAAGAATTTCATCGAGGACACATGCTGGCTGCACTCGGATTGACTGCGGCACTGAGGAGAGACCCATGAAGACTCAAGAGACCCATGATCCGCAGAAGATGATTTGTGGTAGCATGAGGCGATGGAAGTTTTTACAAAAAACATCGCTACTACTGAGCCCAGCCCAGCCGCTCCCGCTCCACACCAAAATCACCTTGACGCTGAGAAGATATTAGGATCTCAGTCTGACACAGTGACGCAAGAGGATCAATGTTCAAACTGTGACTCACCAGCGTGGGCAGCAGATGAAAATACCACTGGCTATTTTTTAGGTGTATGAACTTACAATTGTGGTTCCCAATAATCTCTTCATTAGCATACACAACTTGTCAGGAGTATATGTCAGTGGGATCAGTGGGATGAGCCTCTGTTGTGCCCTATCTATTATTAGCCTCCTCCGTTGATTCCACCACCCTGGGAATTTTTTTTCAGCAACTCTGGTGCTCCGTGGAGAGGGGCCAGTTTCCTCCTATGCACACGAGGAATATGCAAATCACATAGGATATATGAGAATAGTCTCAGGATTATTCTTTACGATCAACAGTTTCCTCCTAGTAGGTACCACTAGTACTAGCTCCAGCGTGCTGCAGCATGTTTTTCATATTTTGAGGACTTTCATCAGGCAACTGTCTCAAATTTTTCATCAAGCTTCTTCAAAAATAAGCATTGCGATGGAGAAAAAAATGCTGGAGGAGGAGATTTAGGCGAATCTAAAAAAGGACCTTGGAGTGCGGGGCATACTCCTCGGATTAGAACCCCTAGGCCAGTGACTTGCATCGTCTGTTCTATCCTTTCGGTCCCATCAAGGAGGTGAAGCTCATGGATTCTGCTATGCTCGGCAATGGAACCACAACCGCTCTAGTCGAATACGTGAATCTCTTCGATGCTCAGGAAGCCAAAGACGCACTTCAACGACAGTTCTTTGGGACCTCACGCCTGGAAGTCCAATTCATCCAAGACAATATCTATCCGGTTAATTCTACTGCTGCTGCGTATGCCCAGTCTCCCATGCTACCGAAAACATCTGATGCCGGCCTTAATCCTTGTACTGCTCCTTTCGTCTTTGGATCCCGCCACTTGCCACCCTTGGCTTCTGGTCTTAGTGCCGTTGCGCACGATTCATTTGTCAACGACCTCAATCTTGCCAATAGACTGTCTCTACATTTGCTAACTCCAGCCGAGTAGACCCTCTGCTCGCAGCTCTGAATCTTACCCAAACCTTATCTTGTCATCAAGGAGACCTTCGTCCGGGAGTACGCTTGTCGTGGAGGTAAGCTTCACCGCAGGGAAGTACGGGATCCCGTCAAGATTGATGTGAACAAGGCGAGTCGAGTTTGGGACTCTTGGTGCAAGCTGGTTTTCTCAAAATCACACCTGACCCGCCTGCTGCTGCTGTTCAGGATACCTCGTACGTTAGTTACGGCTCAACAGCGTATATGTTGATTCCCGTAATTGGCCGCTTCCTGTACGTCTATATGATTCAAGTCGTCCCCTTCACTGAGTGAATCATATTACAGCGGATGGATGTCGAATTTAACATCGACCCAGATGAATTCCAGGCTCGCAAGCGCAGACGAATGTCAACCATGACCACTTCCCTACCTCCACCACCCAAGGTAGCCCCAACCTCTGCTCCTGGGGTACACGAAATTGCCACCTTCCTCCCTGGCAGGCTTGAGTTCGAACACGAGCTCGATAATGAAGCGGAGGATCTTGTGAAGGATCTAGAATTCGGAATTTGTCCTGCACGAGGCAATGAACAGATTATGGAAGATGAGAACGGCCCGGATGTACGTGCCAGGGCACGAATGCAAGAAGAGCGCAAAACTGTTGCTGGTTCCAGGAACAGCAGTCAGCCACCCGTCAATGGTGTCAGTGGCAACGGACATCTTTCAATGAACGTATCAAGTTCAAAAGTAAGTCTTGCCAGGTCTATTGTTGTACTCGAGCACTTCCTCCAGATATTCTAGCGGCTTAACGCAAGTCATCATACTCGAGATCATTCACATCTTCAACCGCCAGGCAGAGATCGTCAAGCTGAGTACGTATCTCTCTGTTCTCGACCTGTTATACATGTTCAATGTTTACCGTGTAGTCCGCACGCTTCTTAACTGCTTCAACTCCACCATTTTCCAGTTTTTTTATTTTTATTGTAGCTCACAATTGCGCAGTGACACTTTCAGGTCTCTGCAACCCACTTACTTCCCTGGGTTCGCATTCTCTTGGCTCTGCCTTGTTTCACATCGACTCTTCATGCCAAAATTGCTACTATCCGAAACCCGCGAGGTGAGATTTGCCCTTCAATTTTGGAGGAACTTCTTTTGACTTTTTCCCATCAGTGCTGGTCTGCGTTCCACAAGCTCCTTCTTTTCTCCTTCAAGTTTCTGGCTCGATGCTAATCTCCAACTCGCATCTCGTAATTTGTATTGCGGCTCCCTCTGACTCCTCCCCGTCCTTCTTCATGATTTCCCAGAGTTGCTTAGCAAGTACTACTTTAGTCTCTGCGATGCCATTCCTCCGCGTTGCATCCAGCTTCGCAACATCATCCTCAGCGCGTTCCCTATGTCTATCATCCTTCCTGACCCTCATCTACGCAAATTTGACTCGATTCCCGAAATGGGACCGATACCACCCATTCTATCAGACTTTGCTTCACGTCTCAAAAGCGCTGACCTCCGCAACAACCTCGATCAATACCTCCTTAATTGTGGAACCCCTTCATTCCTCACAACACTCAAAAATCCCTTGAGCCTGCCCGACGTGCCAGAGGGTTCATCCGAGTTGTACAACCTGTCACTAATAAATTCCCTATAACCAGGTTGGGTGCGCGGATGTGACTTCCGCGTGAGGGCCTATCTGATAGAGTCGTCGGATCGTTCGGATTCCAATAGACAAGCACCTGTGCGATGACATAGCAGCCTAATGACGGCGAGAAAAGTTGCCCGCACGTTGGTCGTGACACCTCGGACACAACAGGAAGCAGCAGGCTAGAGCATTTATTCTGAAAAGAGAACGAACGAACTATGTATTTTCATTTGTTTATGGTCTATCTATTCTGCTAGGGCTAAGCTACAAGTAAGCACTGGATTTCGGTGCTGCATGATGAGGCAATTTGACGACTTCCTGTCTGTAGCATCTGGTCATAACTGTGCACAACCTGTTACTTGCCAAGGACTTCGATATTCCAGACTTTGAGACTGTATACGGACACGATATGTATATTCGATTTAGACTTGAATTTGTATTTTCCAGCTTGTTCCCTCTAAGTCGAAGGTGTGTACTGAAGTACCGATAATTTGTGGACCTCGTGTGGCAAGGTACAATTTGCGATGGACCAGTGTTTGAATTGCGTGAGGGCGTTGGATGCACTCCCACCCGAGTAAATTTTACTTGCTGATTTGAAGAACACAACTCATCGGACAAAAAACCAGAGGAGCTGATACTCTCTGGCACGTATATGTGCAATTATGGATCTGAAGGGGATGTTCGACACTCAACATTGTTTGGGAGATCCTTGCTCTGTGGCTTTTCGGTCTGAATTACTGTGAAACCAGCCAGTGTCACTGGTGCCAGCGTCATTGTCGGTGATAAGCCAGAAAGTGCGATGTATGATGGTGTATAAATTCGTAGAAACAAAACGAGATCAAAAGGATTCATAGTATCAACTTGGCCGAGCAGGCGTGTTCGTGGCCTATTCGCTTAGCTGAGGCCTTTGATAAACTCCAATGCAAGACGGGGACTGAGGTATGCCATATCGACGAATGAGAAAGAAAAACACAGTACAGTGACATGGAACGCACCTGTCTACCGGCTTCACAGGCATTCGCTTATCCAAAAGCTTACCACCCTTCTCAAAGACAAAATGACTGCGTTTCGTCTTATTTCCATCACCAGCCCCAAGAACGCTTATCAACGACCTCTTTGGATCAGAAATAAGTGGGAATGGGAGTTGTTTCTGAAGTGACGGTCATCAAGTTGTTGCTTGCACATTGAAAATATGCATGGTGACGTACCTTCGTTTGCCATTTACTTTGAGCAGCTGAGGAGTCGGCACTGACTCCATAGATATCATAATCAAGCGAGGCAAATTCTTGCCATATATCACGGAAGCCACATGCTTGCGTAGTGCATCCAGCTAGAAGAAAAACCGTTGCTAGGATGAACAACAAGATAAACCCAAAAGAACTTGCGTGTGTCAGCCTTCGGAACAAGAAAGAGAACGACACCCTTCTCTGCTGCAATTGAACCAGTATTGATGTCTTCGCCTTGCTCGTTTTTGAGGGTTATGGAGGGGAGAATATCGCCAATGTCGATGGGCGCTAGTACATCTGCTACATCATCATCCTCCTTGACCGTCTCGTCTTCATTAGCTTTGGCCTTGAATGCATTACAGTCAAAGTCAGACAACTTGGCTCGAAGTGGCGTACTTTCTTGTTCTTTTCATCTTTGTCGACCTCCTCGGCTGCCCTTTTTTTCCCCGATTTTGAAGGTTTTTTCGGTTTCTTAGCGAGAGCAGGAGCCTCTACTTTTGATTGCCCTGAAATTCTTGAGGATCGCCTTGGAGCTTGAGGATCAGCCCCAAGTTCGTCGGAGGACATAGTGCTTGCGTAGGTAGAGTTGAAAGGTTGAAGAGGCTAAGCGACAACGTTGCACCCACTGCGGCGTCTGTCAGGGGCTCCAGCTGCTATTCGTACGTATTGGTCGCATTAAATCCACAATTTAAGGTAATATACATGGAATGAATTCAAGCAGGCAAACGCAAAACAAAAACCTTGAACGATAGACATTTCACATTCCACAACTACTATTGATAGCAGGTATATGGCAAGTCCGAATGGAATAGTCAATGTAGTCAAATAAATGATATACGAAGGGCATGATGCCCTATCGAGGCTCAGGAGGAGGGCTTGCTGAAAAGCCTCCTGGAAATGGGCGTGAGGCTGGAAATGTGGGCGAAGTAGGGCTTCTCGCGGCAGTCATTGTCGTAGGCGAATTCGGAGAATGTAGGTCTCCCGTCGATCCATTGGAAGAGGTGGAACGAGTGCGGGAGATGTATGGACGCGGTGGAGGCCGCAGAGCTTCCCCAGGGGGAGGAGAAGCTATTTCAGGCACAATCACGTCCAGGTCCATACCAAATTCATCGATTATTCCGCGAGGAGGAGGCCGTTCGACCATAGCCTCCAACAACTACAACAGCGTTCGAAAAAATCGCGAAACTAGATAACCAATATACTCACCTCACGACGGAGGTCTTCGCCAGCGTACTCTCCCTCCATCTCTTCAGGTCCGAGGAGGACAGCACCTTTTCGGAAGATTTCCCCTTCTTCTTCAACCCAACTTTTCGACCTTTGAACATCATCAGGGTATGTAGATACTTTGCTCGTATGGTGACCCACCTAACCACAGGGGAAGGGACGCTAATTTGGTCCTCCTCGCCTAAGAGTCTGTTGTCGTCTTCATCCTCGTCCTCGGATTCGGTTATCATGAAAGTGGGACTCAACACTTTCTCCGGCTCCTCCGGTTCTGGTTCTGCTCGACCTTTTCCTTTATCTACCTTCGGAGTTAGTGGTGTATCATCTTCTGACAGATCTGCGGGGTTCCCATATGAAGCATCTCCGTTAGCGGGACTGATCACTGCGCTTGGAATATTTAACCCAAGACCGTGAAGAAGTGATATACTTGGAGGAGCGGATAACAACTGTGCGATAGCACTGTTCAGTTTATCGCAGAGGCCCAGGAGCTCTTCTAGCAGGACGATGTCTGTCGTAGTTTGCACTTTTTCTGTGATTGCGTCGACAATAGCCTTGGCTTGCTGAACGAGGTCTTGGTCCGCGGGTGACACAACGGTCGAGGAGGATACGCCAGAAGATGCGACCGAAATGGACCTTGGGCTATTCACCGAGTTCTCGACTTGAGACAGTAGCGCGTATGCTCTTGATATAACCTCATCGTTACCCTTCAGAATCGTGAGTAGGCTGATCATGTATGGGGAACATACACCTACCTTGAGCCCGCCACCTTGACCTATTGATTTGGCTAGTTCACTTTCCTGGATCATGTTCCACACACCCTTACCAAACCCTTTGTTGCTCGCCGGACTACGAAGTCCATCAGAAACATGTGCCGCTTTTTCTGCTTCCTCCGTATTCCGGATACAAGTGTTGAGAATTTCACGACACATTCTGTGTGAGGTCATATTCATGAAGCGTACTGTACAGATCACTAGACACTCACTTAGCAAATTCCTCGTCATCTGGAGGTATATTGACGTCGAGACATCGCATCGTGTGATTAGCCTTGAGTCCCGAGCTCAGGGCCATAATGGCAGCGATGTCCAAGTTGTTGTCCGTGAGATCAAGGTGGAGCAATGAGTTTGATTCAGGAAGAAATTCTGCGAGTGCGATAGCGCCCGGTGATGTCATGGCGGTGGAGGAGAGGAATAGGCGCTTGAGAGCATTATTTAATGTGAAGGCCGTTCGGAGTGATTGGATCTAAACATTGATCAGTCTAGGCGCCATGTGCAGCGAGTTATCAACGCACGCCTTCGAGACCAGGACCGGAGCAGGGATTCCGACTGAGATCCAGAGTTTCTAAGCAATGATTGTATTTCTAGAAGCTGCTGTTAAAACTGACAACCAAAGAGACTCTAAGCGCTTACCAGTGCCTCGGCAATTGCCACCAAGCACTGAACATCCAGCTTGTTTTCGCTCAAGTTGAGGACCTTGAGGGTTCTATTTCGTTTGAGTACTTGTGCCAGATAAGTAACCCCATTCTACGCCAACGCCATCAATAGACAATACTATACTCGAAAAAATACTTACACGAAGGTCGTTGCCTCGTAAATCCAATGTGCGGAGAGCTCCGAGTCTTGGTAATGCATCGAGAGCGCGCACCTTGTCCAGCAGTGCAGCACTTGGACCGTCATCGTGCCTGTGGGCCGTACCATTGGGATGGAGTCCGCCCTCCGATCGTTGATGCCCAACATTTGGTGCAAGATGGCGGGTGGTGACACCACCCTGTGGATTTGATGTGATGATGGGGACGGGCTGACCAGAAGCCGAGAGCGGGAGAGTTTGTGTTGTTGCAGCACCTCGGCGATTACGAGGTACATAAGGTGTGTAAGTTGTTTGAGGAGGCATGGACGATGGGTGACGTGGAGGAGGCAGTACGGGTCCTGTACGGGTAACAGGTGATGGAGGTGGTAGATGGGCAAAAGGGGGGATTGGGGAGGAAGGCGGCGAAGAGATAATACCTCCTTGTGAAGGAAAGGTAGATGAGTTAGGAGTACTAGGGACCACGTCTGGGTAGTCTCGGATCATGAGAGCAAGCGCGACAGCTCCTGTTGCATTGATGCGATTATGTCGCAAAGAGATGTTGCGAAGAGATGAAGTACGAACAACTCGGGCTGCCACATTTAGTGGAAATTGGACTAAGGGTGAACGTTGATAGCTCACCAAGAACGTCCAGCGCTGGCACTCTAAGAGAACAGTCATCTAGACGGAGAGAGATCAAACCAGGCTCAGGTGCTGTTGTCAATGAGACTACGATATAATCTACTGCCTTCTTGTCTAGATTTGTTTGTGAGAGGTCGAGGAATTGTAGATTTTTTGCCTGACGATGAAATATGAGCAGGTGCATCATTACCTGCGAAAATAACGCACTTGTGAGGCATAAAAACCAAGCACTTTGAACGCAGGTGTTTTTAGGCGACGGTTTGACGCAACGGACAGGAAAACGAGGGTGCTAGGTATGAGCAGCGCGTGAAGCATAAGTTTCAATTTCTGGGTTGTGATGAGCACAGGAGAGGCAACCAGGGGGGAATCAGTTACATAGTCGTCCAAATCACATTCTCGAAGGGTGAGTTTTCGAAGACCCCATTCGATCGTAAACACGTCAGAGAGGATTGCGGCAGATGTAGGTGTCAATTGTACACCAGACAGATCAACGGACCGAGGATTTGTGCCTGATGCGCGCTGTTGAGTGCAGCCGCATTCGAGATTAGCTTGATGTGCTCTCAGAACCCACAAGTAAATTTTGTCACCTTAAAGGCAGCCGAAATTGCGGGATCTGGTTCTTCCTCTCTCGATGCGCAACACTCTCTGTAGAACGATTCCACCTTGTCCAAATTCCACCAATCTTCCGTTTCGTTCGGACCAATAGAGTTACCTCTGACAACTCTGCTGCGTCTCTCTGCTTCTCTCTCTTCAATTGCCCGCTTCTCATCTTTGAGCGTCGGTGTTGACGGAGGGTTGGTAGAGGATATAGG